GCGATATAGATAGATAGATAGATGGCTATAGAATGCGCGTGTGCGTCTGTATGTGTGTGATTTAGCATCTCCACCAAGTGCGTAAATATGATTTCGAAATTGCAATCATAACTCAGCGTAATTGCAAAGAGCTGAACCTCATTCCTGATGCATTCGGTTCGTAGACCCAAGGTGTTTCCACAAAAAATAAAATTCACCACAACAATGCTAGATTAGAGTTTTGATGTGAAAACCAAGATGGTGTAACCTTCTGTTTGGTCGTAGTCTCCTTTAGCTGAACAGTGTTGGTTCGACCTCGTTTTGGCAACTTGGTCGGAGCTTCGGAGTCACCTTGTGGAACGTACCTAGTCCCGTGTCCCCTGCCAGAGTATTCGCGATTTCCAGCATTGGACCATCGGCCGGGTACATTCGCAAACGTTTCGCCGGCATCGTCAGTGAGAGGCGCCATCTTTGGCACAAAGTCACAACTTATCAAAATGACAAGTGACCCTTGACCAATTTCCTCGCTCCTATTTTCGGTTCTATCATCATATGGCCCATCCAATTATTTACACAATTATTCACACAATTCTCTGCTCTCGTTTCCTCCAATCGCGCCTAAGAGTGTGTCGCTACAAGTGGGTCTAGCGATGCATAACCATCTCCACCACCGGTACCAGATGCCGTTTGCAGAACTCCTGACCTACATTTGGCCCTCTTTTTTCCCACCCGTTTGTCAATTGGCCGTTGCTAACCATCAAAATCAGTAAAATGAGATGTATTCACCCTATTTGGTTTAAGGCGATCATATGACAAGACCTGACGTTCCCATTGAATTTCGCGTAGCTTTGCTTTCCCAAAAGTTGTTGGCATCATTGTTCGACTGTAGTTTCGACCTCGCCTCGATCTCATCAGTCCACAAAGCAGGGCTATGCGAAATTTAATGGAAACTTCAGGTCTACTCATATGATTGTGGGAAAATTCCGCCACCAGTCCTTCATTACCTTAAACGAAATTGGGTGAATACATCTCATACTACTCATTTACTACTTACATATCAAAATCACTGTTCGGTTGTCTGAAGTCCGGCTGCCTAAGAACCTTGCATTCCCGTCCTTGATTACGCCATATTTGAGGAGTTAGGGCAGATAATGCACATGCCATTGCCTGAGAATCTTCCCCTCCATAGTCCTCAAACATGTGACTCAATTATCCTCTTCCTCATCCCCGCCCACATTGCGTCTCATTCTTCGGGGCCCTGTGTCCGGCTTAAGTCGTAACCGCTGGTGTGAAACCGCATTGCTTCCCTTTACTTGAATCTCGAAAAACACACTCCTCTCGTCTTTCAAGTTGACATTCCCATCTAATCCTGTCCCTGTGTGCGCGTTGGTTGGTATCCCCCTTGGTCAAGCCTGTCATCAATCGCCTTCCCTTCCGACGAAGATAGGAAAATTACACACGACACTCACACACACACACTGGTCACCTCTATCTGGCCCACCTATACCTTTCGTCTTTAATTTCACATTCTACAGCTCACATTTCACATCTCACCGGGAACCCCCTTGGTAGATATTTTCCCAATTCCGTGTCTGACTCTGCTCGGCGATGCCTCTTCCTGTTGTTGAACAGTTGTCCTGGCTCCAGGCGTCTTCTTTTTGATGCCTTCGCTGAATCTGCAAGTCTGCTCAGGCAGTACGCGAAATTATCACTCACTCTTGCCTCTTCCAATCTCCGGTTCATGAGGTTTCTTCGAAAGATCTTTCGTTTCCTCGTCTTTTTCCCCCACATGAGGCCCGTCTTTCCGTTGCATTCCAGTCTATTGTGTGAACGGTAATGGCGATGTGTTCAGCTATCTTCGATCTTTGCGTATCCATTTTTCTGCATAGTTGCTATAGTCCTTTGATCCTTATGATGATTATCATTCCCGTCTCTACGACGTATTATTGTTTACACTCCTTGCAGTTTATGATGTAAGCTTCGGAGCAATTTATTTTGTTGGCTTCTTCATGTTGTGTGGAAAAGTTGGTTAACAGGTTTGTCCTTTCTTTCAGGATCGTATGAATGTTCCATTTTCATAGTATTGTCCGTGGCTTCTGAGCCATTTCGCAGGAGGGCTGGCATGTCCATAACTTTTCTTCTGCCTCCTTCCATTCGTATGTTGCGTTGTATTGCTTCTTCTCGACATCCCTTTCCAATAAGCATCTGAGGCAGTTTTCCCGGTTCCTCTTCCCAGAACTCACAATCAGTGAATCGTAAGCTTCTTATGATCATACTCCGAAGTATTTCAATCTTTATCACATAATTATGGTTTGACTGGAAGTTAAGAATTATTCCAGCATGCGATTTCTTTCGGAAAAGGTTTATCTTGGGAGTCTCCTCGGAGCGTATGACCTCCACATCCAAGAACGGTAATTATCCCTTCTCTTCCATATTCATAAGTAATTAGACTTTTGCATCCTTTTCATATAATAAAGTCGGGAACTCGTCTAATTTTTCTCTTCCATGCGACCAAATCGCGAAGTAGTCGTCTAAATATCACATAATTACTGTTGGCTGCTGGGGTGACATTGTAAAATTCTTCTCCAACTTGTACATGAAGACATTAACCGACAAAGGTGGGAATTTTTTATTTTTGCTTATAGATGCGGCCGTTGAACACGAAATAGGTCGATCTTATTGTTAGGTTGATTAATCGGGTTAGCTTCCAACCTTATGCCTTTGATTCTATGGCGAAATGTATATGAGTTCTTCACAGTATTCCATAATCTGTTATTCACTTTCTTTACTTTAAAGCAGATACATTTCGCCAGTTTATGTGTTAGTCCAGATATGCTGTTGACTGCCAGTCTCTGGTTCCACCTTTTTCGTGTACCTTCGGCAAACCACATGCTGCTGGTGTACTTGTATCCTTTCGTTCCTTGTCCATTTGTCGATTTCCTCGTTCCTATTCATTTCCTTCAGCATTTCTTGCAGTGACCCTCTGATTTTAACCTTTACGTCCTTTGTCAGTAGTCACTACGTTATCGTGTCCCCGAGAATATTTTCCATTTTATCGGTTTATCCCTTCCTGTTCATCATCCTTTGTCTACTTGTAGGACTATTTGATCGAAGTCGTTTCTTCAGAGTTTCCTCTGAGCGAATGACCTGCACATCCAAGAGAGTTAAGTGTCCATTCTCTTCCACATCCATGATACATTTGACTTTTTCATCCATTTCTTACATGAAGATCAGGAAATCGTCAAATCTTTTTTTTATACCACCAGATTGCGAATTATTCATTCAAGCATGGCATAATTACTGTCGGCTCCTCAGGTGACATGTTGAAATTCTCGCCCAACTTGTCGATGTAGGCATTAGGCAACAATGATGAGCGTGGTAGGTCCAGATGTAGACCAAATATTTGCTCATTAATCCGGCCGTTTCATGTGACATGTGTAGTTTATAGCTTTAGGTCGATTAATATGGTTAGAGACTCTTCACAGATTCGCTCCGTCTCCAGGATGTAATTTTCTTTTTCAAAGATCTGCAGTAGTGTCATGGATGTTTTTTCTCCTGGCATGTTGGTGTACATGGAGTGTGCATCAAAGCCTACCAAAAGTTCGTTTCCTTCCAAACTGGTGCCCTTGATTCTTTTGCAAAATTCGTATGCATTTTTTACTATATTCCATAATCTGTCATTCACTTTCTTTAATTTGAAGCAGATACATTTCGCCAGTTTATGTGTTAGTCCAGGTATGCTGTTGATTGCCAGTCTCTGGTTCGACCTTTTTCGTGTACCTTCGGCAAATCACATGCTACGGGTGCCCTTGTATCCTTTCGTTCATTGTCCATTTGTCGATTTCCTCGTTCCTATTCATTTCCTTCAGCATTTCTTGCAGTGACCTTCTGCTTTTAACTGTCGGTTCCTTTGTCAGTAGTCGCTAAGCTATCGTGTCCCCGAGAATATTTTCCATTTTCTCCGTTTATCCCTTCCTGTTCATCACCGCAGTGGAACCTCCTTTGTCTGCTTGTAGGACTATTTGATCGTTTCTCTTCAATTCTCAATATATCTTGGTTATATTGTCCATATGGGTGGGTTCTTGATGCACCACGATTATTAGCATGATTTCCATTTCCAGTTTTATTTTTAATTTTTCGTGTTTGAGTAGAGTTTTGAGACTACCAGTAAATCAGTGTAATGAGATGTATTCACCCAATTTCGTTTGAGGTGATGAAGGACTGGTAGAAGAAGAATTTTCCCACAATCA